TGTCCTAAAGAAAACACCTAGCAGAAAGAATAGTGCGAGGAGTGATGCCGGATCCGAATCTGGAAAAGGAAGTACCTATGAGGTTAGCCTGGAGGAATCCCTAGACCAGTTTCAGCAGGAGAAAAGCGCAAAGGAGATTGCGCTGGAGGAAGAGAAATTCCTCCATGAAAAGCGATAGGAGGCTGAGCGGGAGATTTTTCAAACCGAGAGTTATCTTCCGTCACTCTTTCAACAAAGAAATTCCTAGATTTAGGACTTAGGGATTCAATTGTTATTTTATTTAGGCACGCCAACGATGTAGAATGAGCTACTTACTAGTTACTTAGGGTAAATCAGGCATATAACGTTTAGGAACAAATTATAGGTTACTAGATTTTAGGATCAAATTGTAGTATCTAGATTAAGCAAATATAGGGCTATTAAATTCAATATTTTCACGAATTCCACCTCCAACTAACGTACTTCAGCAGCTAGCTCACTACAAATCACTAAAATTTAATTAAACGATAGGTAAAGTAACAAATTTAGGCAATTAACTTGATTGAGCTGTAAAACGTGTGCTAGATGTTTTGGAATTGTACCTTATTTTCCTCTTTTTTCTCGTTCTTACTCCGACCTATCTAAACTCACAGTTCCGTTGAACCAAACCTGACGTCTGTCATTTCTGACTGCGACCGTTACCGTAGTTCTCTGAATCTTCCACAGGGTTGTCGCTGGGCTTGGCGGTACAGGGTTATCCCGATATTCCGAACAGCTATGATCCATAAATTAGTCGTATATTATTCACGTTTTGGACACTATATTATTAATTTTGATCCATACACCATGGGGCCTTATAGCCTAGTCAGGAAAGGCACGGTATTACCAAGCCGGAGGCGGCGGGAGCGAATCCCGATCCGGTCGAAGAAATCTTTCGGGTTGGAAATTTTCTCGACTTCCCTGGGCAATAGAGTATCATTGTGCTTGCCACACAATATACAAATTCATGCATTGGTATTGGCATCGAAAAGCTCTTAATTAATAACTGTGGAAGTGCGTTTAGAATACTAAGTTGAGATCACGCAATAAGCTAATATGCGCTAAGCAATAAGTTTGAAATGCGAACAAGAAGAAGAAGAACCATGAAAAATTGCTCCATTACTACTTAGATTTACTGCCCTGCCGTGTTTTTTTTAGGTAGAGGTGCGGAGCGATGGTCAAGCGTCTAGAATTAGCTTCTATAATAAACTTCGTAAGAAAATGTGAAAAATAAATGTAAATTTAATGGATCATGGATAGGGTAGGTGTTCCAGTTATTGGTAGACGTTCCTATTATAGTGTGTTTCAATTATAGTCTATGGGATATACATATGTTTTTCATGTTTTGGACCCTTTCTTAATTTGATCCATAAACCTTGAAAAATTGCTACATAGCTACGTACACACTTAGAAATACCTAATTTTACACGTGACGGAATCCATCTTTGACATAAGGGATGAGACGTAAACAAACATGTCATGTGCTCCGAGACTGAAAAGTTCGGTACTCGACGAAAAGTACGTTTGATTGAGCTGAGTTTTGCGTCTATTACGACTCAATTTTATGTCAAAAATGACGTTCGTATATGTCAGTCTCAGAGCACCTAAATTTACATGAATTTTTTTAAGAGTGTAGCTACTCAGATATACTGTTTACTGCCCGTGTTTTTTTTTGTCAGAAGAGCGGAACGATGGGAGAGCGTCTAGAATAAGCTTCTTAAAGAAGTTTCTAAATGAAACTTCCATAGGAAACTTCTTCATAATCTTCTTTTGGAAGCAAATTCTAGACGCTTGCCCGTCACTTCGCACCTCTACCTAAAATACACGGGCAGGACAGTAAATCTAAGAAGATATGCAGTGGAGCAATTTTTCAAGGTTTATGGATCAAAATTAAAAAAAAAAATAGTGTCCTAAACATGAATAATAGGGTATACGTCCCTAACCTCGGTCTAATATGCAGCCATAGATTACGTTTTTAATCATAACTCATCAATTAATTTACCTGCAAACGATATTCTACTGCTAAATGGTATGCTTAGATATGCTTATCATGTCGTTTGCTATCAGGAACCGCAAAAAGTTGAAAAACTTACTTTTTTTAAGACAAAAACTCACCAGGGAAATGTATGTAATATCGGTCTATTGTCCCCAAATTGGGTCTATTTATGGATGCAACTTCGTCCTATCCTGTTTGATTCTCAAAAAAAACGCTCTTGGTAACGTTTTCTTATGTATTTTTTTTATCACTATCACTGTTAACTTAATACTCTTCATTCCTCAAAACATTTCTTAGAGAAAATTTTACGAAAACTACATTAAATCACTCAAGTTAAAAATTAAAAATTAAAAATTTCGCTTATCGTCTTTCGACCGCAGAATATCTAAATCAAAACATTGTGATGTTCATTATACAGATTTGGCAGAAAAAATCTCCCTTCCTGTTCGTTCCTTATCATCCAAATGCAAACCACATTGTTGACGTTACTCTTATTGCTATATGCTGTCAAATGAATTTCATGGGCCATAGTTAGGAACATAGAAAAGAAATGTGTCCCTAAAGTTGGGTCCATGTTTTACTTGTGAAAACGTTGTTAAACATTTAAAATAAACATAAAATATTCAAACAGCAACTGTAAGTTTTACGTCTAGTGTGTATTATCAGGTAATTCCATTCAATAAATGCCATAATCAGGCCATTTGATGATCGTCAGTGCAACCTTCCCATCTTAACCTTAGAAGTCATGGCGGCTAAAAACTCCGAACAGAGTGATATTCTCAACCAGTTTTATTACTTACGAGAGCTGAAAATGTATTGAAATGTTGTGATATAAATTGATTTGTGTGTGGTACACATTTATCAATCATCAGTGATCAATATTTTCCTTATTTTTTGTGTAATATTCCTTAATTAATTATTTATTTGCGTGATAGGCCGAATGAAAGGACTAGACCCACATTACATACCGTAACCCTATACGTCTAATTTAAGGATCATGCCTATGAGACTGATGCAAAATTTGTTTTTTTCGCTCCACAGTGCTTAAATGGTTTCAAATCGGGTCCTGATTAGCCTCCCAAAGTTACAATTCATTTGTGTTACATATGAGCCTAATACCCACAAATGTTGGTGACGGGTTTTGAACGTACCAGGAGGTCTACCAAAGTTTCTCTGAACAAGGGCAGGAACACCGTTAGCCCATTCGCCATTTCAGGAATGTGTCACTGTTCCATACTCAGGATCATAAAACCGTGGACCCCCGGTAATGTGACCGTTTCTAAGCTGGACTATTTTTAATTTAAACTCCGCTAATCTGCGCGCCATTCAAACTAAAAATTGCGATATATAACATTGCGATACGGAACGCAGAATCAAAACAAAACAGCAAATAAGACTGCCAGAAACATGCTTTACAAAAGCTGAATTTGAAAAAAATAAGTTATTGTTGGATTCGGAATAACACTGGCGATTTTCATGAGGGTAACGGGCGAACGTGGTAAGATGATGATCCTGGCCTATGTTACTGTCTTTGGCAAAGTTGTAAGGCTATTTGGTTAAATGCACAAGTTTCCCCACTACGTGGCGCTTATGTGCAAGTCAACTTCCTTGATATTAAAAGATAATCCCTTAATAAAGATTAAATATATCGTCATTGTAATAAACGAAGTCGTTGAGCGCTCGATTTATGCACGAAGACATATTATGTTTCAGGTTAATATGTATTGCCGAAGCCATCATTTATCAAATATTAAAATGTATGCTTGGGGGCACACGTTTTAGACTATGCTATCAAACAAAAAATCCACAAAGAACTCTACATTATTTATTATTTTCAAGAGATACGATTACACCAAATGCCGAACGAACATCAAAATCATCATCATCACTCAGATTTGAATTCATTTGGTAATCATTGTTATTATTTTTGATGTTTTAGCTCTTATTTCGAATAGTAAAACTTGCTATTGGTTTGATGTTCTCTTTTACTCGGGTTCTAAAACTAATATTCGGGGATTCATACAAATATTTTCGACGTTGTCCTACATTAATTAATATTCCTTGCGTTTAGTTCAACGGGAAGCTTACAGCCCAAAAAATAATTTCTGTCTCGTTTTTATTTTCCTAAATTTTTTGGAAAATGTTATGAAAAATTGTTTCTTAGATTATCGAACAAATTATATCTATGTAAAAAACATGTTTTCTATCTCAGCATAAACAAAAAATGGACTCTAAAAAAACCGAAAGGTCGATTTTACGGTTAATTAAGTACAACTTTTTTATTATGTCACTGAAAGAATGTTGTTATACGCAAATTTCCTTAAGAATCTGAGGAAAAAAAATAAAAAAGTTTTAAATTTTTCGATATCTTTTCCCAATAATATTAAAAAAATAGAAATAAGAACAAAGTTGTTTGAGCGGTATGGTAAGTGCACCAGTTTTAGCCATAGTTTCCTATTTTGGCCTTACCTCAGAAAAACGATTAAATCACAATCTTCGTTCGTTTTATGAGCGATATCTTCTTCTTCTTCTTCTTCTTCTTCTTTGCATTTCAAGCTTATTGCATATCGCATATTAACTTATTGCGTGCTCTCAACTTAGTGTTCTAGATGCACTTCTACAGCTATTAATTGAGAGCTTTCGAAGCCTGTACCATTTTTGCATTAGTATAAATGTGTGGCAAGTCCAATCATACTTCTATGCCCAGGGAAGTCGAGAAATTTTCCAGCCCGAAAAATTCCTAGACCAGACCGGGAATCGAACCCAGCCACCTCCAGTATGGTCTTGCTTTGTAGCTGCACCTTTACCGACTGAGCTAAGGGAGGCCCCTTAGCGGGAGGGAGGGCGATATCTCGAACGTGTAAATATTTTCAAAACATGGCCAAAATAGGAGCATGGCCAATATATGTGCGTTTCCCCTAAGCTTCCCGTTAAGCAATCGGATATTTCGTAAATCTCTTTTCACTAATACGCTTAATTTTTTTAGCTCCCTCCGCCTACCAGCCGGAAAAGTGCAAAATCGACGTCGCCCCAGCGTTCACGTTCGGCGTGAAGGTAAATTGTGAAAAGTTCACTGTTAGCCCAGGTAAACTTTTTTCTTTTGATTTGCCCGTAACCCAACTGCCACTTAGAGCATGTATGTACAAACTTTCGAAACCGTTCTCACCAATTTGTCTTGTTTTCCTTTTACATTTTCTTTGTTTTTTGTATGAACCAACATCAAATATTATATTTTGCTCGCTACTCCCACCATCAAACACACACACACCCACACACATGGTTGGACGAAAACAAAAATCTTAAAAATTCCCCCCACCGCAAAATCGAAACTGTGTGTAGCCATCATGAGCAATGGCATCAACGGCGGCACATCCACTTCAATCACCTCAGCCACCACCGCTACCAGTGCCACAACCACTACAACTGCAGTCATGGAAAATGGGGCTGGCACCGTAGCACTGCAGCAATCTAGCCAGAAAAGTAGTGTACAGAAACAACAGCAACAGCAACAGCAGCGCTCTCAGCAAACCCAGCAGGTGGTAAGCAATGGGGGTGGCATCACTACCACCACCTCCACGACCAGCGGAAGTGTCAAGATGACCCGTGAACGGAAAACCGTCAGCGAAGAGCACGTGACTTCATCGACGGGCACCACCAGCACCACTTCGGGGACCACTGCTGTGACCAACGAGAACCTGGTTCCGAACTGCATCGCTGGTGTAAAATCGCTGCAGAACGTGCAGCACCAGCGAATGGTTTGCACCGGACATTTCCGAGCTTGATTTGCGCGTTTTGTGTTTCCAGTGAACTCATGTTTTGTAAACTTTGTATTAGTTTTGTTAATTGTTTGTTAGCTTCCTAAATGTAGCTTCTGAAGTTGCTTATTATTTGACCTGGTAGACTTATTTCAATGTCAATTGACGCACTTTTGATGTAAGAGTTTGAGTAGCTTTTGAATTTTGTAGTTGTCGGTATTAGTAGAATGCATGTCCTAGTTCATCGCCGAGCTGTAATCTTATTTGAAGGTAAGTTTCAAACAATAGTGATAGCACGACCACTATCTAGTTCTCAATGAATTTACGAACAAACACATACGGATTAATGATTTATGGTTCCATAACTGTCGTTGGTATGCTGTGCCGGAAATAGGTACCATTTCATCATCGTTACCACTTCCTTTTTTTTCCTCTCACCAGCCCCGAATGAATATCACATCCCAGACGTGCTTGGTTCAAGCAAAGAAGGCCCGATCCGGTCGGCACCCGCCTACACAATCGCAGGTCGGGCGAAATCGCAACTTCCACAGTGTATCACTTTCCCTGGCCCCGGTCATTACGATGCCAAAATCGATCCGCTGGTAAAGAAGGCTCCGATGTTCTCGATGGCCACCCGATTCCGAATGCCAACGGACGAAGCGATGAAACCGGGCCCAGCGGCACACCATCCGGAGAAGGTAATTGAACGTTCGCGAAATGCAATTCTGCTGCAGTTTTCTGTCGTCCAATCAATACTAACCTGTTGCTTTCTCCTGAATGTTGCGCTTAATTCCTCCTCAAACGATCCCGACTCAAACAGGGCTACTACATCTACCGATCTGTCCCAGCAACTTCCTTTTCCATTCGCCACTCGCAGTACCTAGCGCACAAAACCCCCCGATTGGCAGATGATATTAAAACTACTTACTGGGATTGAATACATGGAAATTCCCATTTCGTGTCATGTTATAATTTATCTATCTTTTCTCTTCCTTTTTTATACCGCCATCACATGTGGTCATCCACCATGAAAATATACACACATACACGCACGCCACACACTCGCTCATACGTTAATCCCACCAGGTGAACCTAGGACACGTGCCGTCGTACAGTTTTGGGATTAAGCATTCGGAGTATCTTGGACAGTTTCCAGAGCCGTCACGCTACCGTAACCAACTAATCTTTTGAGTTTAAAATGAGTTTATTTAATTTTGCAGGATTTTTTTTTAAATTTCATTCGGTTTTAATCGGCTTTTGCTTTATAAGGTGCTACGAAGGATTTTATGTTTTTTTATTTATTTAAACGAATCAAATATGAATTCATCCAGGGAAGAGTGCAAACAGTACGGTGTCATTTTTTGCTCGAAGAAATGGTGTTATGAAGTTGGTAAGATTATTAGTTTTATTTTTATGATTTCTGTTTTGTTTTGATGAATAAACAATTAACTTTCAACTCTTACGAGCAGAACTATGCTTGATTCAGGAAAGAAATCCTAACAATTTCAACGGATAGCTAATTGGAATCAGTGATTTAGTGCATTCGTTCATTGTTTCTACGAACCTGGGCGAAGCAACGGGAGAAGTTGGAAGAGACCTTTCAGAAGGCAGTAAAGAGTGTGTGTGTTTCATTCTCTATCCCTCACCCAGCCGGGGGCGTTGGACAAAGTAGAACTGCGAATAATTTGATCAAATCTCATGCTCCGTTATGGTGCCCTTTATGTTGTGTAGACCAGTACTTCAAAAAGGGTAACTTTTGAGGCAAGACAGGGTGTCCTCAACAAGTTAAGGGAACAGGATGCACTAGATGTCCACAACAGGTACAGCAAAACATCACATAGACGCCCTTATTCACACTAACTACTCAGGGGGTGGAAGGTCAAGAAGAACCACCGCCACCAACTAAAGCTTGAACCGGGTACCTGGGGCTCCTACGATATACCCGCGGCAATGGTCAGCAGACGATGCCCTGTGCGTATTTAGTATGTAATATGTTTTATTTGGATACACAAAATCTTTGAAGCCATGCGTCATCTAAACCATAATTTGCATCACCACAAATACACTTTTCAAAAATCTTCAACTGGAACGTACTCACCAAATCACTACATCCGTGAGCGCATTCCCGATGCTTCCACGCATATTTTTCTCTAGTCATCCCTAAACAATTCCTCCTCCAGCGACTCCAACCACAACAACCAAATATCACTTTTCTTCGCTTTTCTTTTTCAAGTCACTCCGTGCACAAAAGCAATGCACATCGTAAAACTCTAACAATAGATCAGCGCCGTTCTCATCACCGCGTAAATAAACTGAAATTGAAATTTTCACTCGCGATGCCACAAATTTCTAGTCCGGGAGAAAAAATCAAACCACGCAGATAGCGCCAAATCTTCTGATGCTTGCAATTTTGCAAACATGATGAATTATGTTTTTTTTTCTCGATTCTCACCTTTCAGAAGGCAGTAAAGATAATTTAAAAATAGTTACTAAGTAGATGTCCCTAGCGATAAACCAATTCAAATTATATGATAGGCCCTGAAGATAAGAATAGTTCCAAATTGGCACTAGGGTTTTCGATCTAATTTCCGTCCTTACTAAGCACAACCCGCACTTAACCTCTCTTTTCTGAACGAGTTTAAACAAAAAATGGAATATTTCTGTCAAAAATGACTTCTAAATTCATTCACCTTTCCATACGTACCGTTGGATTTGATAAAGATTCACAAATTGTTGAGATATTGTTTAAAATCTAATACTGCTTCTAGATTCTAAATTCGTTCTACGAGTTTCAATTCCGTCCAAACACATTGAAACGCCATTAGATTTCTTTCGTCCTACGGATAAACGTAGAAAAAAAATTAAAGGGTTGTGTCCTAGACACGACCGCAGTATGACGTAGAACTACGCAAAATTGAATTTTTGATTATTATACTTTATCTACTTTTTTTTTAAAAGTATTTCAATGTTTCGGTTATGGTTCAAAACTCGCGACAATTCATGTTAGCATAATCAGACCACGGTTCATATTACGCATGAGATAATGTATTTACATTTAATTTAATGGTTAAGAATTGACAGAATTTCCCCTACATAACTACCTTGGGTTGATCAATGTTGAGTTATTTTGCTGTGATCAATGCACACTAAATTTTACATCGACATCGACTACCATAGGAACTGACACTATTTTGTCAGACATTTTTTTTGTTGAATTGCACCTCAGTATAGTACACAAAAACGCCATGCATGTTGTGGGATAAAACAATTGCCAAAAAATACATTATTTTTTTTTCAGTAGCTTCATCATTAGTTTTAAGTTAGGTTTCTGAAGCAGAGAAGAAAGTGAAGATTGCATTAAATGATAACGCAACAGGAAGTTGCTAAAATGGAGATATTTGCTAATGTATTCCAATTTTGATCAAATTTCGGATTTCGCTTCCATGTTTAATGTAGATTACGAATATGCCTTTACCTCAATACCCTTAAAGAACCCAATTGGAAACAGTAGATAGAGCTTCTTTCTCTATGAAGCACGGTATATGCATTTGGATTAACATCCGACGCCCCTCCTTCTTTACATATTCTGACAGGCCCCTGACAGGATTTCCAGGTTTTTTTTATGAATGGGGCGGGGCAGAAAGTATCTTTTGTGCAGAGTGTAAAAAAGGATGGACTTCGGATGTTTATCTAATTGCATATACAGAGGTACCAGGTTTTCCAGTCAGTTGGTGATAAATCACCCACAGAATAACATCAAAATATTGTGAGCGATTTTTTTTTCTAAAATTCGAAGCTCTCTGGGCAGTAGTTGGGTAAACAAAATTAACGTAATTAAACTTTTTTTACCACATTGTAGTTTGCTTAACAATTATTTGCCGGAAAAAAGGGATCGTTAAAGTCCATGCTTTTTTTTCAGGTTGTCGTTATAGGTGAGGGGGGGGGGGGTGTTTTGCATAAATAACTTTTCCGCGTTTCGTATAAGGGGCTGTTCATTCACTACGTAGACAATTTGTTGGGATTCTTGCCCCCTCCCCCCGTTGTTAATGAACGTCCCTTAGTTGAACGGGACCCAATTCACCTTTAACCACTGACTTGCTCCTGCTTACTGCAGGACCAAGCGCCACGCCGTCTGAAGCGGTAATGAGCAGAAGCGCGACAGCAGTGCTGTTTAATATCTTTTCAGAAAGATGTGCAACCAAGTGGTACTCGATTATGATCACTGGGTTTGGGAAAAATGCTTATTTCATGAAAACAGTGATAAAATTATCATTTGTACATTTTTCAAAAGATTAATTACAGAAAAATTGGAAAATGTTTATTTCAGCAGGTTTGTAATGTAATAACCTATCGATTGGCGTATTTGGATTTTAATTTTATCTATAAATGACAAAGTTACAAGCGTTCAAAACCTAACACTACTTCACCACACATATTTTTTGATTTGCATCCCAGTATAGTCGACAAAGACGTAGTTCTACGTCAAAAGGATTCGCTAGGAGCGCTTCTTTTGTTTTGAGAACAATGAGCGTAAATATTCATACAATGCGCTCTAACAGGATTTATGTTGTAGCTAATGAACTAACGCATCGGAACAAACCTATGATTGATTTGTGGACGGTGAAATCATTGATATTATTGATCTTTTCTGATCGATAGAACGGAAATGGGCGATTATTTACGACGAAGTAGCGCTCTACCCTATGTGGAGTTAGTAAGCAAACATAATGTTATGTGTTTTATGATCCCGACCAGTGTTGTAAATTTTCATATCATTCGATTGAAGATGAACCAATACAACCATTCAATCTCATTCCGTCTCGCACGCTGAGCCGGTCAAGTCGCATCGGTCTCGTTGTACGACACTAGTATTTGAGTTTTTGAGTTTTTCCCCACGCGAGGGTTTTTTCTCGCCAAAGTTAGTTGGCATAGTGTTAAGACAACTAGTGCGCGAGTGAGGAAGCCGTTAGTCATACGCCGAGCGCTTTGATTACGGTCCAGCTTTAACTCATCATCATCGCATCATCACATCATCCCATTGAAGCAACAACGAAAGCACGTTAAATTGCCTACCGAGGCGACCGAGGCATACCAGCTACAAGGGTATCGACCCAACAGCCGTTGGGGCGAACAATAGCATCGCACCAGTCATCTGCTGCCTCAGTGCAATAGGTATAACGTGTCGCTTTGTTTTCACCAGTATCGCATCTCCCCGCATGGTCCAATACATATTAGATTAGGTTGGGTCATAATTAGGGTGATCCAAAATTTTGTAAATAGTATATATCCATATTTTTTTTTTTTCTTGATTTTTTTTTTCTCGTACTATTTTTAAGTAGAGCATAGTTAGGGTGATCCAAAAAAAATTTTTTTGGTATATATATTTTTTTTCTTTTTCTTGTTTTTTTTTCTTCTTTCTTTTGTGTTACTCTTTAGTAGAGTAAAACTATATCATTTTTTTTTTGTATTTTTTTATTTATTTATTATTTTTTTTTTGCATTTATTTTTTTTTATTTTTGATACTATTTGAAATTATTGTAATTATTTGAAAAATATTTATTAAAAACACCATTGCGGCGATATTTAACCGCAATGGATGAAAATGATAAAGGCGGGGGATGGTCGCTTTCCATCTCAGACGACGAAACTCTTAATTCCACCTCACACGAAAGTCTCGAGGAAGTTGTGGAAATGGAAACCCTTGACGTTCCATTTGACTCGCTCTCCAGCAAAAATACTGGAGCATATCCCAAGAAAAGGTATCGCCCACAACCCTCTCCCCCACCATCTCCTCCTCGCCCACCTGCACCCCCCACACCATTGCCCCCGAAAACCTCTGCGCTCCCCCGCCTAAAGGCTTACCCAGAAGCTTCGAAAGGCCCATGGGTTGTTTTTTTCCGGCCCAAACAAAAACCTTTGAACATTCCGAGGATCTCTAAGGATCTAACAACACATTTTTCGGCCGTTACCGATATTTTCAAGGTAACACCAATAAAACTGCGCGTTACCGTTGATGACCGGAAGCAGGCTAACCAAATTGTTGCGTGCGAGCTCTTTTCATTGGAATACCGAGTCTACATACCCAGTAGTGAGGTAGAAATTGAAGGAGTGGTCACCGAAGCGAGTTTGACTAGTGACGATTTCTTGGGTCCCGATTCCTTCGGAATCTTTAAAAACCGTGCTCTGCCGAAGGTGAAGATATTGGACTGCCTTCAAATGCAGTCAGTATCCGTAGTAGGCTCCAAAAAAACTTATTCCTTGTCAAACTCGTTTCGTGTGACCTTTTCGGGTTCAGCTTTACCTCACTACGTCGCTATTGGCAAGGTTCGGCTACCTGTACGTCTGTTTGTACCTCGGGTAATGAACTGCTCGAAATGTAAACAACTTGGTCATACATCGGACTACTGCTCGAACAAACCACGCTGTGATCAGTGTGGCGAGCAACATCAAGAGGGCCCTTGC